TCAGAAAAAAACACCTGCACCATATCAAACCACCTGTCTTGCTTACAAAGAGCTCTATTATACTGTGCATCCTCCCTGGAGAACATTAATCTCCATTCTACAGGACAGCACACAGATCCATTAACTGCCCCGTTTCCAAGAACGGTCCCCCAGTTCAGTTCGCAGATGGCGCTTGTGCCTCCACATTTACTACATATGGAGGTTTTGCGGTGCAGTTGCCAGGGAAATGGGCGCACAAGTGCACAACCAAATGCACCAGAGGAAAGTTGAGTGCTTGCTTATTTTTGACAGCGAGAAAGCCTGAGATCATTTCAAAGCCTTCTCCTAGTGACGAAATTCACATACACCTGCATTTACCAGCTGGTGCAGGAGACGTAATGGCTAATTCAAAAACTAAAAGTCATTGTGAAGCAAAGAAAAAGCCTAAATATCCAACACAGAGAGATGAGCTGACACCCTTTTTTGAGAGAAGATTGTCTTTTAAATTAGACATGTGTCCAAAAATATCTGAAGTCATTTTGACTTGCTCTCAAACCCACATTGACAAATGAGAATTTAACACTCCACAAAAGAGTGTTTTTTTTCTTTTCTTAGAAACTGCAAATGGCATTCTCTAAGCTCAACCTCAGATAGCAACCTTGACATCAGAAGTGTTGCAATTTCTGTTTTCCATCAGTGCTGGGGTTTAGAGTGGCTAAACCACACGGATGCAGGTGATAGAGGAAGATCATTAGCTGCCCCAGGTGGGAAAAAAGGATACTTTTTCTGGCTATTACATTTAACAGTGATACTTTACGCAAGGTCATACAGAATGTAACAGTGACCGCCCGCTTTCTCAGCAGAAAGTATTTTTCCATTCATTTTCTTAAAAAAAGTCTTAATTAAAGCACTATAAGCCATGAACCAAACCAACAAACTTTGATTTGAAGCAAAAAAGTATTTGAAAATCAGACAAAAAGACAAGACAAGACAGTACAAGACCGTGTATGTAACAGCTTTAATGAGGGAAAGAAATACAATCCCATGAACTACCGCAAATAACAATTTAAATAACTATCCAAGATTAAATTATGTGGGCTGATGGCTTCACAAAAAAAAAAAAATCATATAGACCCTTTTCCTGAGTAAACGATAAGCGCCGCCATTACGAATTCTAACTTCCAATTGGATGCTCTTCTGTTCCGGAACCCATTCTGGAACCCATTCAAATAGTGCCCATCTGTTTTTAATGTAGCAATCGTCGGCAGCTTTGTGTCATCTACACACTCATTAAACTTTGAGGAGTGAGGCACTGACAAATGACGGTCATTGCGACATTGTAAAGTGATGGCACTATGGAGCCATGTGCTTTTTTAGAAACATTTTAATAGGTTTAACATTAGATTATCGGCTTGGAATATACGCTAATTTGACTAGAAAAACTGGAGACCGGAAATGCAAAGCATCCTTCTGGTTAAGAGTCAGGCATAACTTCCGCGTTCAGGAAAAATGTCTATACCATTGATTAATGACCTTGGAGCTCACAGATTTGTCTTTAAATGTTTATACCTGGAAGTTGTTGTTAAAAATCAATTTCCCTATGGAGAAAATGAATGCCATTTTTACTTCCAGAATCTTGCACTCTATAAACAAGTCTTGAACATGGGGGCAGTAGAATTTTTGGTAATATAATCAATTTGAACTGGACTATTAGTTTTTATTTTAGAAATATAATACACACGTTCATTCTTATTCGTATATGCCTAATATGTCGCAAAACGATTCCAGTCGCGTCACATTCAGTTATGAATTACATTAATTCAAAATGGCAATATTTGACAAAGTCAACACTGGATGTTGGTCGTTTAACGTTTGTATCACAAAACAGATGTCAAACACTAAATGTTTAACTGCTTACATCTTACCTCACTTTCTTTTACCGTTAAAAACTGAAGCGTCGCACTGAAATTCATTTTCCATTTCTGTGAACAGTAAAGCCCCGCCTTCTTTCATGTGATTGGTCAGCTCAATCATTGTGACATCGACAACTGCTATTTATGTAGCTCCGCCCCTTTTCAGCGCTGTGCTTGTTGTCTTCTGTCTGTATTTCCACAGCGTGAAGGTAAGGTTGTATGAATTTATGAATGAATCGCCCGTTTTAAAGTCTTACCATTTGTTATGACATCCGCTTCAAACATTACAATGCACATGATAACTTCCATTAACTCTACAACAGGTAAATCCACTTCACCAGCTAATTACTCTTAAACAGTTTACTCTTATAGCGCCAAAGCCACTAGAAGGCAAGCCTGCAACCTTTAGCCGAAAAAGCGTAATGGTTAAAGTGAGCGTTGGCAGGACATGGGAAAGGAGACCAGAGGCGGGGGTTTTTTTTATGGATGTCAATGGAGGAGAGGCTTCACTACGCTGAATAAACAGCTTTTTAGAGGAAAGGGCTTATCATTTAATGAATCGACAGCCTATATGCTAATCTTCAACATGTTTTACACTAAACAATACTTTTGGATTGAACTATTTTTCGAGTTTACCACAAAAAAAAAACACAGTTTTATAAGAGAAGTCACTAACCTTTTGCGACAGTTGGAATTCAGCTTATGGCACTTGTCATTCATTCCTAATATGGTATCCGTAAACGGCGACTGAGTGTCGCACAACTCTGACTGAAATTCAATGACGTCAAGGCTGTAATGTGATTGGTTATTAAAGATTAGTTCACCCAAAAATGAAAATTCTGTCATTAATTACTCACCCTCATGTCGTTCTAAACCCGTAAGACCGCCGTTCATCTTCGTAACACAAATTAAGATATCTTTGATTAATTCTGAGAGCTCTCTGACCCTCCCATAGACAGCAATGTAATTACCACGATCAAGGTCCAGAAACGTAGCAAGGAGATCGGTAAAATAATCCAAATAGAAAATAAAAATAATCCGTAGAAAACGTATCCGCGTGACGCAGCTGACACAGAATAGCATACGCTGTTTACGTTCAGTGGATACTCTCCAAAATGGTGCCAGGGTGACGCGGAGGAGACGAATTGTTAATTGAAGTCGTAATTTTTGTTTTCTTTGCGTACAAAAAGTATTCTCGTAGCTTTGTAAAATTACGGTTGAACCCCTGATGTCACATGGATTATTTTATCGATCTCCTTGCTACGTTTCTGAGCCTTGATCGTGGTATTTACATTGCTGTCTATGGGAGGGTCAGAGAGCTCTCAGAATTCATCAAAAATATCTTAATTTGTGTGTTCCGAAGATGAACGGCGATCTTACGGGTTTAGAACAACATGAGGGTGAGTAATTAATGACAGAATTTTCATTTTTGGGTGAACTATCCCTTTAAGGCACACGTGATCCAAGTTAGCCGTTATGCTTTCTCCAATAGTAATACCGACCCTCTCATCAAACTCTGATAGAGCTAACCCCAAAAACGGAAGTTCAAAGACAAAATTCTAAAGATGGCTGCGCACTTTCTCTAACGCATAAGGTCTATAAGTTATATTACCCAAATGTGCAGTAGGAGCGATCAGGGATGGTTGTAACACAGTGCAGTTGTAACACTTCCAATTTCTCAAATAAGGAATAAGTTACTAATCACCTAATTCACTTCACACATTCTCATTTTAGTCCTTATTCCAAATGTGAGGAAATAGAGCCCTGTGGTAGACACAGCAGATTTTGTAGGAGAAAAACTAATTTTGAGTTTAAAAAAAAAAAGCAACTTTTTTATATTTAATTGATTTTTGTGATGACAGTGCCTGCTTTGTAGTTAAACTCATCTAAGTTAAATTATATTTATTGTGTGTCTGTGTAGATATTTTTCATGCAAGCTGCTAATGCTTTGGCGGTTAGCTGTAAGGTGATCTAGTTTATGGCTACAAGACTCTAGGATAGTTGTAACAGCAAGATTCGGGGTTAGTTATAACATCAACAAAACATATGGGAACTTACTCCAAACAATTATTTTGTTTTATTTATAGGTTTTCTTTGAATTTCAGTATGCCTAGGTCTTGGAAGAGAAAGACCAGAAACCAATGGGTGCCTCTTACTATGTTGAAAATTGTGCTGAAAAGTCAGTGTTGAATAAAAAGCTTTCAAAATCCTTTTTTTTTTTTTTCATAATCCTTGTTGCATAATGTTACATCTCACCCCGGTGGATATCGTAATGTCACATCTCACCTCAGGGTATGTTACAACTAACCTGGATGGGGTGAATTGTAACATTTCACTCTTTGTGTTTGAAACCAAACTATGCATTTTCTGTTTGTGCTGCAAAGATAACAGCCATGCCATTTAATAGCATACACTTGTAACTAGTTTGAATCACATTTTGAACGCAATGGCTTAAAAGAACTCCAAGATACAGACAGAAATGTCAAACTTCCCTAGACCTATAAGACTAAAAAGAATACTGCACTGGAAATGATTTTCGACTACAATAGTAAGCAGCAGAAAGTACTATGCAGTACGGGACACTTGTATACTAATTTAACTAAATAGCCTTTCTAATTCACACAATAATGATTTTTTATTTTTTATTTTTTAAATCCGCTGAAAACCTCGCCCTCCAAAGATAAATCAGGCGACCTGCTGACGTAAAACTCCAGCACGTAAAATGATTGACAGGCAAAGAGTCTTTTTGATTGCCCAGGTATTCTCTTTTTCAATGTTTAGTGAAACAGGTGTGACAAAAAAACACTTACTCCACCTTTGAAGCAGCGCATCATCTAGTGAGCAAACGTGCACTATGATTGCGATCATATTCTCACAGAGAACAAAATAATATTTAGCAAAACAGTACAAAGTTAGTACAGGAGATAGGGAGAAAACCCAAATCTCAGTCTTCAATCTTAACGCGTTAAATAATATAATTAGCCTGCTAGACCACAAACAACCGATTAAAAGTCTGTCCTAGTTATGAAGATGCTTCTCACACAAATGTGCATTGTAAAAAGTGCATTCTATAACTGTAACTGCAACTGTAGGGTTGCGCGTACTCACAGTTGTAAAAGATGACAACCACAGGATCCCGCGAGCCCACGAGCGCATGTCTCCAGTCGTGTCCACAGCGCGCGCTGACAGCAGTAGTTGGATCAAATGCTTTATAGACTGACTCTGACCAATCAGAGGAGAGAGAGAGGAGAGAGAGCACATCATTCATAATCCTGCACAAGGCGCGTTAAAACCATTGCATCTCTGCTGCAGACAGGGAATTCTAACACTTTCCTCAAACCAGACAGACAAGAACCTGTTTTTGAATTGCTGCATTGATATTCCTCAAACACTCGGTTGGTTCTAAACATTTAGAGCTTGGTATTAAAATTCCTTAAAGTGTAGACTCAAAGTTCATGTGCAGATAATTTCATATTTAGGTGCGAAAATGGGCGTCCTTAATTTTTTATGTATATGTACTTTTTAAATGCACTTAAATGGTGGACTCAATCGTTTTTGGTAACTCAAAACATTTGCACAAAGAAATTAATAGCATTTTTGAAAAATATTGAACGATGTACACTTACATGAGATGCATTTACTCTCCCAGAAAATGCGGTTTTATTCTACATGGAGAAGGTCGCCCCCTCATGTTGACATCACATGACCAGCAATGTCACGCAAACCACCAAGTTACTAGCAGAAACATGATCTATAGAAGATCTAGTGAGCAACACACATCACATAACCTTCCCAATACAGATGAAACAGCCTCAATTAGGCCTAGTCATAAAAATATAAAAAAGTCTGTTTATCATGGTGTGCATGCATACAGACAAGTGATTGCTTATAAACAAGCAACTTTATACACTTAACATTATACAATACAACTTTATTACACTTGCAATTTGTAAACATTGCGCTGTGATTGCATAGATTCACAGATATTAAATTCAGTGACATTCATTAAGTATTCACAATTTCCTGAACAACCGCTTTTAAAAAGTACTTCAAAAGTATCAATTTATTTAAAATACCATTTTAAAACTCTTGTAAAAGAACAAGTCCTATTAGGAAAATATTTAAAATTGCACATAGTTCAAAAAGGAGCTTGAGATATAAATATATAAACAGATCTTCTTAAGAGCAGCAGTCTAGTTCAGCTTTGTCACCTGGAAAATTATGTGAACCGTACACCTGAATAAACATACGTGTCTTGCATATTTGCTTAAGTAGTTGCATAAAAAAAAACAAAGCGAGACACATTTAACAGCGCATTTAACAGCCTTAGTGTTCATGTTACTAATGTTTGATGATCTACCAGGATGAGGATTCACTGATGCATATACAGAAAGGAGGCATTAAAATTGAACGTGTCAAAAAATATTATGTATCTGAGCATCAGTAAACCAATTTTATCAGATCAAAATACTGACAGCCTTATATTCGCAAAAATATACTCTGTGCAAGAGCTAAATGACTATAAAGTATGTGCCATTTTATTCAATGTACTGTATGCAAAAATTACTGCATGGAGTAGACTAAATAAAATAAAAAAAGTGCCATTTATATATTTATAAAATACGCCAAAATACCAAAACCTCTGAGAATATAGCATTTTGTTCGACATCTGTAGTGGAAGTGTAGTGTGATATCTTTTAAAGGAATAGTTCACCCAAAATAAAAAATTTGCTAAAAATGTACTCACCTTTAGGCTACTCAAGTTGGATGTAGATGAGTTTGCTACTTCATCGGAACAGATTTGGAGAAATGTAGCATTATGTCACTTGCTCATCAATGGATCCTCTGCAGTGAATGGGTGCCGTCAGAATGAGAGTCCAAACAGCTGATAAAAACATCACAATAATCCACAAGTTATCCACACCACTCCAGTCCATCAAGTAACATCTTATCAGTTGAAAAGCTGCATGTTTGAAAGAAACAAATCCATCACTAATAGGTTTTAATTTCAAACTGTTGCTTCTGGACAAATTATGAGTCCATAATCCATAGTAAATTCCTGCAGTGAAAAAGTCCATCTCTTGTTGTCCTCTCACATCAAAATCCACCCACATATTTGATTAGAACTCTTTTGGACTAGTTTCGCTTGCAAATGGTGCTTGATCTGTGCATATTTCTCTCCTGATTCAGACAAGACAACTTTTTCACTGGAAAAAGCAATATTATTGATAGAGGACTCACATTTTAGCTGGAAGCAGTTTAAAGTTAAAAATGTCTTGATGGATCTTTTTTTTTTTTCAAACACGCAGCTTTTTATTTCACAAGAAGTTAACTGATGAAATGGTGTCTTGTGGATTATTGTGATGTTTTTATCAGCTGTTTGGACTCTCCTATTCACTGTTAAAGACCCACTGGTTAGCAATTGATGCAAAATTTCTCCAAATATGTTCTGCAGAAGAAACAAATGCATCTATGTCTTGGATGGCCTGAAGGTGAGTATACTTTCAGCATTTTGTTTTTCAATTTTGGGTAAATAATTTTTTAAAGCTTAATTTGCGATTGTCTCACTTTCTTTGCATATTTACCCATGTGAGCTTCAACTGTCCTTTATCACTGGTGCTTTAAATTCATCTGTAGTGTTTGTAAAATCATTTTAAAATACTGAATCCACAAGGAAAATAAAACACACACAAAAAAGATTCATCAATAGCAAATAATCCTCTTCCAATAAGTACTGTTGAAAGTGTTGTAGAAATCCCTTCATAACACTTAACTCAGGTCACCACAGATAACCTTAATGCTATCCGCAATAAAACATCTAATACTATACTAACCCATCAAATTCTAAAACAGAAACCCTTGGCACACAGGAACAGGTCTGAGATGAATAAGAATAAAAATAAAACACATCAATTTCCCTCGAGGACGCTATACACCACAAAGCCACATTTAAGGGAAGTCACTTCCATCATAGATGATGGGCTTCTCAATGGTCAGGTGGTAGTTGACCTTCTTGGAGAGAAATCTATAGAAAAGAAAACACAGGAGAAGCAGTGATTGTTGCATTCCATCTTTCCTATTAATAACTACACTGTAAAAAAAAAAAGATTTTTCGAAGTTATAAATAAAACAATGATTAGTGCAGTATGTTTGAAAAGAAAAGACTATTTCCGTTTTTCTACTTCAAAATTTCACGTGTTCAATGTCTTGCTTACTGTTTCTTTGTAACTGTGAATATTGTTTCTACACCATTTTTTTTCAATGTACTAAATAAAACGGTCATTATAATTTTAGTGCATAAGCAGCAACTAAAATAAATAGTACTGATATTGTTTGATGCTGCTAGGATAATGATATACATAAAAATGGTGTATCATGTAAAATGTCAAATCAATTTATTTATTTAAATTATACTTCTCAGTATTAAATTAAACCAGTCTATTTCTCTTAACTCATTTTTGGAACAGGCTTTGCTGAAAAGTAAAATCAAGATATCTGCAGGATTTATGCAGGTGAATTGAAGACCCTTTTAAGACCAAGCAAAGAACATTTAAAGGGATAGTTCACCCAAAAATGAAAATTTTATGTTTATCTACTTACCCCCAGGGCATCCAAGATGTAGGTGACTTTGTTTCTTCAGTAGAACACAAACAAAGATTTTTTTAACTCAAACCGTTGCAGTCTGTCAGTCATATAATGGAGGTGAATGGGAATCACGGCTTTGAGAGTCAAAAAAATAACATAAACAAAACCAAATTAAACCCTGCGGCTCGTGACGATACATTGATGTGTAAAGACACGAAACGATCGGTCTGTGCAAGAAACTGAACAGTATT